CAAATGCATACGTTACAAATTGAAAAAGGAATTCGAAGCATAACTGCTATAGTCAAGAGAGATTTTCGTATACCCGGATAAGTATTTTACACTTTTGCCTCATTGAAGAGAAAATTAAGGACTCCCGAAGAAATAGGATGAGGAATCGTCCTCATTTGCAAGTGGCATTATAGCTACGGACTAAATTTTCAGATTTCCAGAAACCCGGGACCAACTAACATTTAGTTCTGAGAATGTGAATGAGACGAAATGATCCAGATGCCCCTTGGCAACATACACTTTGTAGAAATGAGACGAAGCAAAATTCGGCTCGTGAAGAGCAGATAGCAAGAAAAGATTTATGAATAAAAAATCACGACTGGAAAAAAGAGATGCCTAAAATTGGAAATTGTCGTTTATAAGTAGCCTTTAGAGTAGATATGCCTACCCTACCGCAAAGTAAATAGACGTGAGCTGCAGGATTGTGAAAACGATGGAAAGGCAGCACTCTTCACATGCCTACAAAGTTGCACAAAAAGGTGGACAAATCGGATTGTTCGAGAGTTTGTTGGCCAGATTGCTGCGACTGTGAGCAGAAGCATGTTGGAGAACGGGAAGAGAATTGAGGATACGTATCAAGGGCAGATAAAAACTGTAAAAATATGGTTATGGAAGGAGGATAGAAATGGCGAGACACATTGGCTTGGCAGGACAGGAGATCAACTGGAGGAAAACCTAAAAACGATCTTTATGCGGAGAAAATAGAGGCAAAAGACAATTTAGAAAAACATGCATATCTTTGCTAGCAGATAAAGAGAAAGAGGTATGCTGATGAAGAGATAGGAAGAATGCATAACTGGCGAATACCTCAGCTTTTACTCAAACAAACTTGGAGGAAATCAGATTACAGCAAGATCAGCAAAATGGAGACGCCTAAATCAAGTGTCTCTCCGGAACCAGCTAAAATTTTCCCGGACATACGCTGTTAGCAGAAATTGGTCCATTTGTGTCTTTTGACAAATTCTATATTGTCGCTATGAATGGAAATGTTCGAAGATGACGAAGAGATGCTCGTAACTCAACTGAGTCTGACTTTAGATGACATGACTAGAGCAGAATAAGGTAGACGAATACATGCATCGAGGAACAAGCCTAGATGAATGCGAGGGAAAATCGTAAATAGGAGAAAAGACTATGATTCAACTAGAACATTTAGAGGCTTACCGAGTAAGAGAATAGAGAAAAGGATAAAGATAGCCAAAATTATGATGTTAAGTTGATTAAAAGCACACAAAAATGCTCGACCATGAGACTGGCTAACCCATCAATGCGATACATTCGGTTAAGTTGTCATCGGTATGAGTGGATTTCGATGAGTGAATAAGAACTTTATCAGTGATTTAAGGAAAGATATTTAAGTTTTTCTACACAATAAGATGAATAGGACTCACGAGGCCAATGTGATTCACACTTGGTTCTACCTACAAAAGGTTATCACATGATGATGTACTGTGCTAGACTGCCGTTTCGAGCTCGCCTCATATTCTTGTACCAGCATTTTCAGCGGCATCCGATACCGATGCTTGAGCATTTTGGCGATGTCAGTACGATGCAGGACTAATGCAGCTTTCAAGATGAGCTATAATTATCTCGAATCACGTTTATATTGAGAATGTCTACGAAATTGCAATAGTAGACGTAAATTAATTTCAATTGTAAACAATTTTCCATACTATAAATAATTCGTGAATAAGGATTAAATTCAAGATACAGATGAGATATCGGTGGAATCGCGTTAGTAGTCCTTCCTGGTACTATTCGATTCCCCAATACTCTTGTTGGGAAAAATGCTAAATGAAACGAAATGGAAGCGTGAGGCTTAATAAAAAAATCTCGGTCTTTATGTTATACAACCTAAAGCTACTAAGTTCTTATGGAAAAACGACCGCTAGCTCGGTAATCTTCCAACCTAAACATTAATAATAATTTGCAATACTTATTTTGTAATATTATTATTAATTTTGGGGATATAATATAAATATTATATATATATATATAGTATATTTGTATATATAATTTATTATGTAATATTATATACATATAATATCAATATTGCATACTGTTATTATTATCATAATCTTCCCGCAACAAAAATAATTACGATACAATATAAATATTGCATTAAGTTTTTGAATCTAATAACAATATGAATATATATAAAGTATATATAAATGGGATATATTTTATGAATAGCATATTATTATCTATAATATGATATAATATATATATCATATATGAAATTATATTGTATATGTATATATATGTTATAATAATATACGTATAATATCTATATTGTATAATATTATTATTTTAAACGAGAAGATTTAGAGCTTATCAGTAACTCTTGCCTAAGAATTTCCTTGCTCTATTTCGCTTAATTTAAGTTAGAAACTGGTATAAATAAATAAATATTTTTTAAATTAAAAAAGCGATATTCAATGGCACCAGATTGTTGGAAGGAGTGAGGTACAAGGGTAGCACGTGATTGGATATACTAAGATCGACTGAAGGGAGATACCACACCCATTCAACAAAAAGATGACTAAGAGCTGAATTTCACTTCCCTTTCCGTTTTGACAAAATGTAGTTTGACGCAAAGATAGCAAGGCCCACTGAAGATGCTGACTATGATGCCGATTAAACGTCTGGCAAAATAGCAATTATACAAGAACCACGTCCACGGTCCGACTTTGGAAACGATCATGCATACTATGGACTCCGGACAAGGTGTGTTTCTCTAAATATTCCTGCCAATGTGACCAAGTTAAGCAAACAATGTCGAACAATATCTGGCAATTTTACAGTCTAAAGTTGACAATTGTTATGACTAACATGACAGAGGACTCCACGCATAATGCCTTCATGATAGGTGAGCTTGACAACTCGACCAATATGTGAAAACGGGCTAAAACCACTTTTAAACTGTGAAAAGCTACTGTGACCAAAATAGAGGTATTCATACCCCTGGTTGTCCATCATGTTCTAGATTTAAAAGTAAATTCTAATTCTTCTGCTGCACAGAACAGCTTTATAAGATTGTGCTGAGAAAAACAGGCAAGATTTCACGATGAATAAGCCGAAACACAGGAAACCGGATTAGGGATTGTATAATATTCACAGGCAAGTGAAGTTTGGAAGCTCCTCCTTGATTTAATGAAGCAGCATTTTTATAGACATACAGAAAAATTATTTCACACGATGCTCTGCCAAAAAGCCTAATGCCAAAAATCATTTAAAGACAATTCTGTAAGTATGCAAGTAGCATAAAATATTTGTGCTGACCAGATAAAATTGGATCCTGCGAAATGGCTTCTTTTTGCCAAACTGTGTGTAAAGTTATTTTGTGACTAGCCTGAAACCTCCTACTTGTATGATGTCTGGCCGCAATTCTTTCACGGTTCCGAGAATTCATAGAAACTCTGAAAATGTCTTCCAACCAGCTTAACCACTGTTGTTCGAAGAGCACTTGGAGACAGATTGGACCAATTCAGAGAAGGAAAAGGCCAAAGGAACTTCTATCGAAACATGAGGCCTAAGCATTTTCTTGTGGAAAAATCTATTTGTCATGTCTACATCATCTTAAGCCACCTTGAGTAAATATATAATATTGTTTTTATTTATATTTAAGGACAAGTTCTTAACAGCATCGCCTGGAATGACAATTCCTTTCCGGAGGCAAGGCTATGCAAAAGTAAATGGAAATGTGGAGCATACGGCTGTGATTTGGGGGAAAATTCAACTTTCATTCCTCCATCATCTCATATAACTTAAGCTGACAATTTAACAATACAACAATAATAAATAGAATTATTACAATCTATACAAAATGTTTTATGATAAAATAGCCTATTCTTTAGAAGCTTCTTTCTAATTTTAAAGAAAAGACCATGGAAGCGTAAGGAATAGGCATCTTTTACTTCTTGGTCACCTTATGCGCCCTGAAGCAATTCATTACTACTATTATTGTATAATTAGTACAAATATATCAAAATTTATTGGTCAATTTCTTAGAGCATCCTAATCATTATTGACGCCTTTTGGAAAGCAAGTCCATCTTGACTTTAATTGAAAAGTTAGGACTATGCATGTGAATGATTATAATGATTATTATATATATAATTTATATCAAATGCAATATAAAAATAACTTTGTTTATTTCTTAAAATTACTTTCTTGGATGACAATACCGTTTAGGAATCAAGGCATATGGCAAATTAATGCAAACGTGAGGTCTATTAAAGGGATATGAAAAAATGTAATTATCATTTTTTTATCACCCTGCACTACTCTAAATTAAGATCAAATAAATTTAGCAATCAAGAGGAAATGACTTGCTCGGATCGCTCAGACGGTCTGGCCCGATTATCTTCTCCCGAATAAAGATTCCCGTGGCTTTTGTAATCAAAGTCGAATTCACCTTTTTTGAATTCCTCTTCTTTATCTTCACCGTTCAGGAAAGTTCCGATCTGCGCCGATTTGAGCTTGAGAGTGGCCGAGCGCTGAAGGATGGCGTAGTGCATTTTCACGTCATCACCTGCCTCCTTTCCAGCTTTGCAAGACTTTGTCGAGCTGACCTGCCCTCTGGACAGTGGAAAAATCGACTGTATCAATTGTTGTTGTTGTTGCTGTTGATGATGCTGTTGATGCTGGCCTATCCTCGTGTCGGGAACCTCAACGATCCTGTCGTTCGT